GGCACCCCAATGGTGGAACAAGCTCCCTCACGACGCCAGGACAGCGGAGTCACTCACCACCTTCCGGAGACATTTGAAACCCCACCTCTTTAAGGAATACCTGGGATAGGATAAAGTAATCCTTCTACCCCCCCCCCCCCCCCCCCCTTTAAAAAAAATTAAAATATTTGTAAAGTGGTTAACCCACTGGCTATTGGGTGAATGCACCAATTTGCAAGTCGCTCTGGATAAGAGCGTCTGCTAAATGACGTAAATGTAAATGTAAATGTTAATGTAGATTGTATACAAATTGTGTTATGGACATAAAAAAAAAAAAAGAATCGACAGAAGAAAGTTTGTTTGTAGTTCTAAACATATTTAGGGTGTTTTTTACTCACTTTTTGTCTCTCCCACAACGTTATTCCTCTCTCCTACAGCGTCCATCACAATTACATGCACATGGCCAATTATGCAAATTGGGTGATGACGTAATTTAGGACAGTCAATAGCTACTTTCCTTACTGAGGAGTTGGTAACACTGGCTGAATGCTTGTTGACACATATTTGTAGCATGTTAGCTAAAAAGACTGGTACTCAGGCTAGACAAGTACCATCCTTTATTTATTTTTGCCCTAGAAAATACACAATAGACTTTTATGAGAACAGGCATGTTGTTTTAGCACTAGTAGCAGACGAGGATCCCGAATGCTAGCTAGCTAGTTCTAACCTAGCCCTTGATCATGACTCCCAGGTTACATTAAAGGCAAAAAAAAGAGGACTAGCACGGCCCCATCTCATCAACGGGGCTTGTACGTGGCAAGGTGGAGCTTCAAGTTCCTGGGTCCAAATCACCAACGTCTATCCCATGTCCAAACACCCGACAGTCATGAAGACCGGGACCTTGACAAGCCCCCTCCATCCCCCGACCCCATCTTTTTACGCTGCTGCTACTCTGTTAATTATTCATGCATAGTCACTTTAACTCTACCCACATGTACAGTGAGGGAAAAAAGTATTTGATCCCCCTGCTGATTTTGTACGTTTGCCCACTGACAAAGAAATGATCAGTCTATAATTTTAATGATAGGTTTATTTGAACAGTGAGAGACAGAATAACAACAAAAAAATCCAGAAAAACGCATGTCAAAAATGTTATAAATTGATTTGCATTTTAATGAGGGAAATAAGTATTTGACCCCCTCTGCAAAACATTACTTAGTACTTGGTGGCAAAACCATTGTTTGCAATCACAGAGGTCAGACGTTTCTTGTAGTTGGCCACCAGGTTTGCACACATCTCAGGAGGGATTTTGTCTCACTCCTCTTTGCAGATCTTCTCCAAGTCATTAAGGTTTCGGGCCTGACGTTTGGCAACTCGAACCTTCAGCTCCCTCCACAGATTTATGGGATTAAGGTCTGGAGACTGGCTAGGCCACTCCAGGACCTTAATGTGCTTCTTCTTGAGCCACTCCTTTGTTGCCTTGGCCGTGTGTTTTGGGTCATTGTCATGCTGGAATACCCATCCACGACCCATTTTCAATGCCTTGGCTGAGGGAAGGAGGTTCTCACCCAAGATTTGACGGTACATGGCCCCGTCCATCGTCCCTTTGATGCGGTGAAGTTGTCCTGTCCCCTTAGCAGAAAAACACCCCCAAAGCATAATGTTTCCACCTCCATGTTTGACGGTGGGGATGGTGTTCTTGGGGTCATAGGCAGCATTCCTCCTCCTCCAAACACGGCGAGTTGAGTTGATGCCAAAGAGCTCCATTTTGGTCTCATCTGACCACAACAGTTTCACCCAGTTCTCCTCTGAATCATTCAGATGTTCATTGGCAAACTTCAGACGGGCCTGTATATGTGCTTTCTTGAGCAGGGGGACCTTGCGGGCGCTGCAGGATTTCAGTCCTTCACGGCATAGTGTGTTACCAATTGTTTTCTTGGTGACTATGGACCCAGCTGCCTTGAGATCATTGACAAGATCCTCCCGTGTAGTTCTGGGCTGATTCCTCACCGTTCTCATGATCATTGCAACTCCATGAGGTGAGATCTTGCATGGAGCCCCAGGCCGAGGGAGATTGACAGTTATTTTTTGTTTCTTCCATTTGCGAATAATCGCACCAACTGTTGTCTCCTTCTCACCAAGCTGCTTGGCGATGGTCTTGTAGCCCATTCCAGCCTTGTGTAGGTCTACAATCTTGTCCCTGACATCCTTGGAGAGCTCTTTGGTCTTGGCCATGGTGGAGAGTTTGGAATCTGATTGATTGATTGCTTCTGTGGACAGGTGTCTTTTATACAGGTAACAAACTGAGATTAGGAGCACGCCCTTTAAGAGTGTGCTCCTAATCTCAGCTCGTTACCTGTATAAAAGACACCTGGGAGACAGAAATCTTTCTGATTGAGAGGGGGTCAAATACTTATTTCCCTCATTAAAATGCAAATCAATTTATAACATTTTTGACATGCGTTTTTCTGGATTTTTTTGTTGTTATTCTGTCTCTCACTGTTCAAATAAACCTATCATTAAAATTATAGACTGATCATTTCTTTGTCAGTGGGCAAACGTACAAAATCAGCAGGGGATCAAATACTTTTTTCCCTCACTCTACATATTACCTCAACTAGCCGGTGACCCCGCACATTGACTCTGCACCGGTACCCCCCTGTATATATAGCCTCCCTACTGTTATTTTATTTTACTTCTGCTCTTTTTTTCTCAACACTTTTTTGTTGTTGTTTTATTTTACTTTTTTATTAAAAAATAAATGCATTGTTGGTAAGTAAGCATTTCACTGTAATGTCTACACCTGTTGTATTCGGCCAATACGATTTGATTTGAATGCCGCCAGGGCATGAGTTATCGAGAGCAAGTGCTAACCCAAACAACATGCCTGTTCTCATAAAGGTAGCTAGCTACCTATTTTGCAAATCCAGGTTAGTTATCAATATCTTTGTCCGAGTTGGAATGAATTAGCTAGCTAGCTAACGTTCTCTTTTGTTTTTGTAATGGGGATCGCCAAATGACTCCTTCGCCTTCACACAATGTGAATGACATGCTTACATTATCGATAGCAAGCTGGCTAATGTTACGTCCTATCAAAACGTATCATCAGGTGCAACGTTAGCTATGCAAATCTTTCTCTCTATGACATTACATCACATTACACATTAGGGAGAGGCTATGCATTTAGCTAGTTCACAGTAGCATAGCTACCCACCACACACCAGTCACAGCCATCATGTTGTATGTAATCCATTCCTTGCCATCTTGCACAATATTGTTGAATGCATTAGAAGTTTGCACCAATTTTATGAAAGTCCATTTTCACTCCTATGCCGAGCAAGTGTGCGTGCATTGCAGACTTAACAACATGTTCACAACACATGGCAGCTGGGGGCGGACCACACCTTGTGTCTCCGGGCAATTGGACATCATTGTCAAAAGTGGGCATGTAAGTAATCCCCTGTAGCTCAGTTGGTAGAGCATGGTGCTTGCAACGCCAGGGTTGTGGGTTCGTTTCCCACGGGGGGTCAGTATGAAAATGTATGCACTAACTGTAAATTGCTCTGGATAAGAACGTCTGCTAAACGACTAAAATGTCATCCGTACCTTACACGTCATGACACACTCACTTCCAGATTTTGTTTTGGATGAGACTGACTTTGGCACCAAAATTATCCTATTTGCACTTTGTAGTTAACTCACATCGATACCACATAGGCCCTTTTGTAACCGGATAAATTGGTTCTAAGAGACAGTTAAACTTTAAAACTGCAACATGTTCTGTCATTCTCATGGCAAAATGTGAAGAATAGCATGAGATGAGCTATTAAACAGCTAATGTTTCTCTCTGCCCCATGGATTTTCTTTTTTAGAATTGCAGGAAATTAGCTTTCAAACTGCAAAATGTTCTCTCAGACTCATGACAAAATGAGTAGAATAACATTATAAAACAGTTATTTTGGGGGGTTGGGGGGGGGGGGGGCTTGCACTTATCCTTCCACTTATACTGTGTTTTCAAAATACCCCTCCATATACCCCTCAAAATACCCCTCAAGAGAAGCATAATAAGTCTTGTCAAACTGTAAAACAGAACCCAAAATCTGGGGGAGGAGCCCCGAACATTCATCTACTGTTTGTCCCCCCAATATCTATACCACAATTTAGCCCTTGCAATGTACACACATATATTTACAGTTTGTGAGTGTGTGATATTATTTCGACATTACAAAGAAAAACTTTTATAAACAATGGCAACACTGCCACGTTGCACTGAGCCTTGCTGTTGGAAAACCACATCAGTATCGTCGGGCTTTCGGCTGTCACAATGCGCCTCCCTTCTTCTTCTTCTTCTTCTTCTTCTTCGATGAGGTTTAATGGCGGTTGGCATCCAATAAATGTTGCATTACCGCCACCTACTAGACTGGAGTATAACTCCCTTATAAATGTACTTTGCTTTAAAAAAAAAAACTAAAAAACAACAACAATACTAATACCCTACCATCTAACACTACACTCACAAAACATTTAAAAAATATATATATACCATACTCTACTATTTAAATCAATTTAGTACTACTTCAGGCCAACAATCTGACTTGATTTCATTAATGCAAGTTAATTATTGAAATCGTTTTTATTTTTACTCTGACTATGCAATATTTAAATGCGTCATTGCATTTGTGGTAACAATATACATTATTGTTTGTATATACCGCCACCTAACACAACCTGTAACTCTTCTGATGTCAAGTCTCGCACACCCAAATACCTCTCTGCAGCTGCCACCACAACCTCAATTTTCTGCGACTTACGTTCCATCCCAGCAGTACAGTTGATAACCATTGCTATAATTGCCAAACATCCAATCTTACTGAAACATATATCACTTGTTGGTTTATCCCTCTGTACTGGTACAGATCTTCTACTCACACCACTCTTCTAAGGATCCCTCCCCCTTTAACCCATCATCCCCTACTTGCTTCACTGCCTCAGCATATGACAATTTCTGCACTACTCTAACCCGGAAACCTCAACCTACCTCGCTCTGATGCACCTCCCTGACTTTCGTTTGCACTTAAATAAGGCCAGTGTCATCATGAGCCGTGTACAGTTCATGCGGGAAGTGTTTTTAAAGCAAGTAGGCCTATCATTAACTTCTGTGGAATAGTGTCGACACTCGACAGGCCAAATAGACACATGATGATTACCAAGGGTAAGTGCGATTCAATTAGCTTATTTCAAGATTTGTTTAGCGCCATAATACAACCATAGAACATTACTTGTTTCATTCTGCTTGTAATGGCGCTAAAAGAGAAAGTATGAATGATGTAAGTTTTCCACTAGATAGCACAGCCACAAAGTCAAAGCGGGCTATATCGTACAAATGAATGATCTTTTTTGTTGTTGATTTTTGGTCTTAATTTAAGGTTAGGCATAAGTTAGGTTCAAAATCACATTTTAAGAAGAGACATGTAGAAATAGGCGCGGTTCATCACTTTGAAGCTGTGGTAGCTTAACTAGTGACGACCGGTTACTGATGAAGCGTTGCACTTCCGCGAAGAGAAGGAAAGTAAGAATAACTCCCATCTCTCTTATTTATTCCGTTTGGAGTCGCCAAATGTTCGGTCTGTAAAAAAATAAAGTGCTGCGTTGTTGAGCTATATTGTTTCTACTATAAAGAAAAGGCAAATGTCGCACGCTAGTAGTGACTCCGATGCAATCATTATTGCAACTACTGTTGTTTTCAAACAACCACTTTACATCAACATGTAGGCTACATGTATGCTATCTCACTGGACTCACCCAGGGTTGGGGTCAAATCCATTTCAGGAACTAAACTGTCATTCCAATTGTAAATTTTTCTCTGTGAGAAATGTGGGTTACTTCCTGAATTGAAATGGAATTGACCCCAACCCTGAGCTCACCCATATACACTACATGACGAAAAGTATGTGGACACCTGCTCGTCTAACATCTCATTCCAAAATCATGGGCATTAATATGGAGTTGGTCCCCCACTTTGCTGCTATAACAGCCTCCACTAGATGTTGGAACATTGCTGTGGGGACTTGCTTCCATTCAGCCACGAGCATTAGTGAGGTCAGGCACTGATGTTTGGCGATTAGGCCTGGCTCGCATGGTGATCTTAGGCTTGTGTGCGGAAGCCCATTTCGTGAGGCTCCCAACATTGCTTTCAGAGGCAGTTTGGAACTTGGTAGTGGGTGTTGCAACCTAGGACAGACGATTTTTACGTGCTTCAGCACTCGGTAGTCCTTTTCTGTGAGCTTGTGGCATACCACTATGCGGCTGAGCCATTGTTGCTCCTAGACGTTACCACTTCACAATAACAGCACTTACAGTTGATCCGGGCAGCTCTAACAGGGCTGACTTGTTGGAAAGGTGGCATCCTATGACGGTGCCACGTTGAAAGTCTCTGTGCTCTTCAGTAAGGCTATTCTACTGCCAATGTTTGTCTATGGAGATCGCATGGCGGTGTGCTCGATTTTTATACACCTGTCAGCAACGGGTATGGCTGAAATAGCCGAATCCATTAATTTGAAAGGGGTGTCCACGTACCTTTGTGTGTGTGTGTGTGGTATATATATATATATATATTAGTGTACCTCCTCAATCCATTCCTCTCTCCCACAATACATTCCCCTTTCCCTCCCTCTCTCTCCATCCCTCTAGGCTGTACCAGGAGACTGTTCCCCAGGCCTGGTGTCTCCAGACTGGTTGTCCTGTCTCTCTCCTTCCTGGCTCTGCTGCTACTCTACAGGTGGGTGACAGGTCAGACAGGCAGATATAATGTAAATCATGACTTCATGATCATTTCTTCTTCTTCAGCTCTCTGATGGGTCCCCACAGCCCCTCTGCGCTGCACAAGGTCTTCCTCCAGCTCAGACACGTCCGCTCCTACCCCCTCCTCAGACGGCCTCGCTGCTGCCTCCTCCACCCCTCCAACTCCACACCCAACCCTGGACCCAGTCATCCCAGACCCAACCCCTGGTCCCTCTACCCTGGCTCCAACCCCGACCTTGAAGCCAGCCCCGTCCTTCTGCTCCTAGCAATCAAGTCCCACCCTGCCAACTCTGACCGCCGGGCTGCCATACGAGCCACCTGGGGCGGGGAGAGGGAGTGGAGAGGTCAGGGGGTGAGGAGGGTGTTTCTACTGGGCCTGGGGAGAGACCCGGAGGTGGGGGAGGAGAGCGAGAGGTACGGGGACATCCTCCAGTGGGGGTTCAGAGAATCCTTTTACAATGTGACCTTGAAAGAGGTTCTGTTCTGGAACTGGTTCCACCAGGAGTGTTCTAGAACCACTCTCTACGTTCTAAAGGGGGACGATGACGTTTATGTGGATGTGGCGAGAGTGGTTGGGTTCCTACAGAACAGGGAAAGGGGGATGAGGAGAGGAAAAGGGAGAGAAGAGGGAGAGACAGAGAGAGGAACAGAGGGAGGGGCAGGGAGAGAGAGAGGAACAGAAACACCAGCAGGGTCTCCCCAGCCTCTCTACATGGGACGTATCTTTGTGGACACCCACCCCGTGCGTATATGGTGGAATAAGTACTACGTCCCCTACAGCCTGTACCATAGCCCCTACCCCCCCTACGCTGGGGGCGGGGGCTACCTCCTCTCCAGAGATGCCCTCTCTCTTCTCCTCCACGCCTCCCCCAGGGTGCCTCTCTTCCCCATCGACGATGCCTATGTCGGCATGGTCGCACAGGTGAGTTGATTGATTGGATGAATTTGATCGCATGCAGAATGAAATTTAATTTAAATCATATTTGGTCATTTAGAAATATACATGTAGACGCAGGGTCACAAATGGCACCCTATTCCTCCATTGGTCAAAAGTAGTGCGCTGAATAGGGTGCTATTTGGGACACTCACCACAATGGACAAACTCACAGAAGCAAATCAAACAAAATAATTTACCTTCCCCCTCTTTCTTTCCTTCGCTCTCTCTCCCTCTCTCAATCTCTCCCTCTTCGCCTCTATTCTCTCCTCTCTCCCCTTCCCCCTCTATCCCCTCTCTCCCTCTCTCAATCTCTCCCTCTTCCGCCTCTCTTTTCTCTTCCCTCTCTCCCCTTCCCCCTCTATCCTCTCTCTCCCTCTCTCAATCTCTCCCTCTTCCGCCTCTCTTTTCTCTTCCCTCTCTCCCTCTCTCCCCCCTATCCTCTCTCTCCCTCTCTCCAGGCAGCTAACCTAACAGCCAGACACCATCCTGGTTTCATGCCTGTGGAGTACTCTCCCTCCCTCCGCCCCTGTCACTACCTCAACGGGTAAAAGCACTCCTTCACTCCCATGTCTATCAAACACCTAAACGTTAACAAGTATCTGAGCTCTGTCAGTGCGCCAGAATGTGTAAGGACAGTGTGTTATGTTTGTGGCTGTACGAGATGTGTACAATATACAGTACCAGTCAAATGTTTGGACACACCTACTCATTCAAGGGTTTTTCTTTATTTTTACTATTTTCTACATTGTAGAATAATAGTGAATACATCAAAACTATGAAATAACACAAATGGAATCATGTAGTAACCAAAAAAGTGTTAAACAAATCAAAATATATTTTATATTTGAGATTCTTCAAAGTAGCCACCCTTTCCTTGATGACAGCTTTGCACACTCTTGGCATTCTCTCAACCAGCTTCACCTGAAATGCTTTTCCAACAGTCTTGAAGGAGTTCCCACATATGCTGGGCACTTGTTGGCTGCTTTTCCTTCACTCTGCGGTCTGACTCATCCCAAACCATCTCAATTGGGTTGAGGTCGGGTGACTGTGGAGGCCAGGTCATCTGATGAAGCACTCCATCACTCTACTTGTTGGTCAAATAGCCCTTACACAGCCTGGAGGTGTGTTGGGTCATTGTCCTATTGATAAACAAATAATAGTCCCACTAAGCCCAAACCAGATGGGATGGCGTATCGCTGCAGAATGCTGTGGTAGCCATGCTGGTTAAGTGTGCCTTGAATTCTAAATATATTACAGACAGTGTCACCAGCAAAGCACCCCCACACCATCACACCTCCTCCTCCATGCTTCACGGTGGGAACTACACATGCAGAGATAATCCGTTCACCCACACAGCAGCATTTGGAACCAAAAATCTTAAATTTGGACACATTTGCACCGGTCTAATGTCCATTGCTCGTGTTTCTTGGCCCAAGCAAGTCTCTTCTTCTTATTGGTAACCTTTAGTAGTGGTTTCTTTGCAGCAATTCGACCATGAAGGCTTGATTCACACAGTCCCCTCTGAACAGTTGATGTTGAGATGTGTCTGTGACTTGAACTCTGTGAAGCATTTATTTGGGCTGCAATTTCTGAGGCTGGTAACTCTAATGAACTTATCCTCTGCAGCAGAGGTAACTCTGGGCCTTCCATTCCTGTGGCGGTCCTCATGAGAGACTGTTTCATCATAGCGCTTGATGGTTTTTGCAACTGCACTTGAAGAAACCTTCAAAGTTCTTAATGTTCCGTATAGACTGACCTTCATATCTTAAAGTAATGATGGACTGTTGTTTCTCTTTGCTTATTTGAGCTGTTCTTGCCATAATATGGACTTGGTCTTTTCCCAAATAGGGCTATCTTCTGTATACCCCCCCACACCTTGTCACAACACAACTGATTGGCTCAAACGCATTAAGAAGGAAATGCATTCCAAAAATTAACTTTTAAGAAGGCACACCTGTTAATTTAAATGCATTCCAGGTGACTACCTCATGAAGCTGGTTGAGAGAATGCCAAGAGTGTGCAAAGCTGTCAAGGCAAATGGTGGCTACATGAAGAATCTCAAATATAAAATATTTTGATTTGTTTAACAATTTTTTGGATACTACATGATTCCATATGTGTTATTTCATAGTTTTGATGTCTTCACTATTATTCTACAATGTAGAAAATAGTAAAAAAGAAAAACCCTTGGAATGAGTAGGCGTATCCAAACCTTTGACTGGTAGTGTACATGACATAGGTCATAGCATCTATTTTGCAGTACTTTTAGGGGTGCAAAGTTTCTTGTATTTTATAAAGATTCCTGGAATTATGAGGGAATAAACAGAAAATCCAAGAATCCTCCAACCAGGATTTTTTAAAAAAAAAACTTGGAATTTGGTGAAAGTTACAGGAGTTTTGCAACCCTATGTGTCTAAGACCATTTTCCCCTCTGGGACATTAAAGTTAATCCTATCTTGTCACTACCGCAGGATCATGGTCCTCCACAAGCTGCTACCCACAGACCTGCTTCATCTCTGGAACTTCCTCCAGACCCAGGTGCACTCCTGTAAGGACTCTGCCCAGGATGGGCTCACCTTGGCCGGAGCGGACGCCCCTGGTTATGATTGGAGGGGAAGCTGATCCTAGATCTGTAGGTCAGGGGTATCAAACGTATTTTGCACTGCGGTCTTCACTGATTGCTCAGTTTGGCCGGGCGGCCAGCTCTAGGAAGAGTCTTGGTGGTTCCAAACTTCTCCCGTTTTAAGAATGATGGAGGCCACTGTGTTCTTGGGGACCTTCAATGCTGTAGACATTTTTAGGGACCCTTCCCCAGATCTGTGGCTCAACACAATCCTGTCTCGGGTCTCTACGGACGATTCCTTTGACCACATGGCTTGTTTTTTGCTCTGACATGCACTGTCAACTGTGGGACCTTATATAGACAGGTGTGTGCCTTTCCAAATCATGTCCAATCAGTTGAATTTATCACATGTGGACTCCAATCAAGTTGTAGAAACATCAAGGATAATCAATGGAAACAGGATGCACCTGAGCTCAATTTTGAGTCTCATAGCAAAGGCTCTGAATACATATGTAAATAAGGTATTCAAAACCTGTTTCGCTTTGTCATAATGGGGTATTGTGTGTAATCCATTTTAGAATAAGGCTGTGATGTAACAAAATGTGGAAAAAGTCAAGGGGTGTGAATACTTTCCGAATGCACTGTATGTGATCTAAAAATCTAACTACATAATGTTTGTAATAAATACAAAATAAAAAAACATTTCTCCAAGGGACATAACTTCATGATGTAATGATGGCTGGAGGATATGGCCAAGATATCATATCACAATAAGGGCTTCACAGGCAAGGATATTGCTGCTAGTAAGATTGCACCTAAATCAACCATTTATCGGATCATCAAGAACTTCAAGGAGAGAGGTTCAATTGTTGTGAAGAAGGCGTCAGGGCGCCCAAGAAAGTCCAGCAAGCGCCAGGACCGTCTCCTAAAAGTTGATTCAGCTGCGGGATCGGGGCACCACCAGTGCAGAGCTTGCTCAGGAATGGCAGCAGGCAGGTGTGAGTGCATCTGCACGCACAGTGAGGCGAAGACTTTTGGAGGATGGCCTGGTGTCAAGAAGGGCAGCAAAGAAGCCACTTCTCTTCAGGAAAAACATCAGGGACAGACTGATATTCTGCAAAAGGTACAGGGATTGGACTGCTGAGGACTGGGGTAAAGTCATTTTTTCTGATGAATCCCCTTTCCGATTGTTTGGGGCATCCGGAAAACACCTTGTCCGGAGAAGACAATGTGAGCGCTACCATCAGTCCTGTGTCATGCCAACAGTAAAGCATCATGCAACCATTCATGTGTGGGGTTGCTTCTCAGCCAAGGGAGTGGGCTCACTCACAATTTTGCCTAAGAACACAGCCATTAATAAAGAATGGTACCAACACATCCTCCGAGAGCAACTTCTCCCAACCATCCAAGAACAGTTTGGTGACGAACAATGCCTTTTTCAGCATGATGGAGCACCTTGCCATAAGGCAAAAGTGATAACTAAGTGGCTCGGGGAACAAAACATCGACATTTTGGGTCCATGGCCAGGAAATTCCCCAGACCTTAATCCCATTGAGAACTTGTGGTCGATCCTCAAGAGGCGGGTGGACAAACAAAAACCCACAAATTCGGACAAACTCCAAGCATTGATTATGCAAGAATGGGCTGCCATCAGTCAGGATGTGGCCCAGAAGTTAATTGACAGCATGCCAGGGCGGATTGCAGAGGTGTTGAAAAAGAAGGGTCAACACTGCAAATATTGACTCTTTGCATAAACTTCATGTAATTGTCAATAAAAGCCTTTGACACTTATGGAATGCTTGTAATTATACTTCAGTATACCATAGTAACATTTGACAAAAATATCTCATAACAGTGAAGCAGCGAACTTTGTGAAGACCAATACTTGTCATTCTCAAAACATTTGACCACGACTGTAGAGCCTAACTGGCATACATAAGCAGCGCGTGAGTTTCAAGTTTGGGGAAGATCATTTTCACCATAACAATGCACTCTTATAATAAAAGCATTACTTGCATTTGCGGTCACTTTTGATAATGGTGTTTACCGCTAATGGAACATTCCTGCTTATAGCCTACTGCCATGTGAGCATTGCTGCGCTTATAATGTGAAGAAATAGCCTAATAGTTTATCAACATTTTAAGCTAAACGTTCTGATCTGTTGCATCAGCCACATTGTGTAAAACAGGTTTTTTGATGCTAGAGATTGTATTAATTTGGGATCTATCGCATCCCACAACTGTCCCAGACTGTTTGGAATGTCTATTTGTCGCACAGAATAGAATAGGTCAACTTTTGTACTATGGGGGATAGTAGATTGACATAGGCCAGTGTGTTTGCTGTTCGTTAGGCCTACTCATCATGTTGGCTGACAAAATAAACGTGGACAGTTCTTCCAATATCTCCATCCGAACACATCAATAACGGTTGCTGATTAATGACATGGGGCCCAAAATTATTTTTCATAGTAAATTAGACTTTTTTTTTTTATAGTCTAATCTAAATCTGAAGGAGAGAGTCACTGCTGTGGTCTGATAATTAGAGAACTAGTGTAGACCATACACATTTTAATAAAGGTAGAGTCAGCGAAATGAAATCGCCACAAGCAGCACCGCATATATTGTAGTGAGATGAAAGACTTCGCTCTCACACAGTCACAAACAACGTGGTAGCCATGTGGGTGTCTCGTGTGTGTGTTCAGGTGAGAAGAGTTAGACAAATTATTTAATCAATTAGCTTCAGCTGGCTGGTGTGCGACCGTAGAAAAATTGGTTTGACTTTGGATAGCCTATCTCTGAAACTAGTTAGGGACTGTCATTAAATTACACAATGTAAATGAGACAATATTTTCATGTTACCCACCTTTTTAGTTTTTGTAATTAAATGTTTTCAATATTTGTATATGCATTTCTACAATGCATAGTTGGTTTGAGGTTAAGTCATTGAAACATATTGTCCCATGTACATTGTGTCATTTACCGATGGTCCCTACCTAGTCCCATAGGGATATCCAAAGTGAACCCAAATGTACCACTCAGAATTGACGATTACTTCTGTGCTACCAGCTGTGGGCAGGATTTGAAACAAACCCAACTTTCATTTACGTTGTGTTGTGAATGAGCCTGGTCAATATGACCTGAGGACTCCTCTCCCAACAGGACTCTGGTAACAAAAAAACAAGGAAGAAGAAGTAGAAGAAGTCATGTTCCTCTGCCGGAGGGTGGATGTTCATCTTATATTGCGACACCCTCCCCCCCACCCCCCATCCCCCAACCCCCCACCCCCACCCCCACCCCCCACGTTGTACTCAAGCCCTGGGTTAGAGCTGTTGGACCTGCCTGATGGCAGGTGAGCCATGAAGCCGATGACACCACGGATTGTCGTCACATACAAAGGAAACAATGTGTTACCTAACATTTGGTAAACATCATGTGTAAAGGAGACAATGTCACGTGTAATGGGGAGGCTGTAGTTAAGGAGGCTTGGGCAAAAATTTATAAATACCAATGATAGGGAAAGGGAGGAGATTGATGTATTAGAAGCTTGAAGATTTTGGGGCAAGGTAAGCACAGAACTTAATCAAAATCAAATGTTATTTGTCTCATACGCCGAATACAACAGGTGTAGACCTTACAGTGAAATGCTTACTGACAAGCCCTTAACCAACAATGCAGTTTTAAGAAAAATAAGTGTTAACAAATTACTAAAGAGCAGCAGTAAAATAACAGTGGCAAGGCTATATACAGGGGATACTGGTACAGAGTCAATGTGCGGGGGAACCGGTTAGTCGAGGTAAATTAGGTAATATGTACACATAGGTAGAGTTAAAGTGACTCCTGTTAGAAGCTACTGCATTGTAATTGCCATACAGTACCAGTCAAAAGTTTGGACACGCCTACTCATTCAAGGGTTTTTCATGAATCTTACTATTTTCTACATTGTAGAATAATAGTGAAGACATAAAAACTATGAAATAACACATATGGAATCATGTAGTAACCAAAAAAGTGTTAAACAAATCAAACTATATGTTATATTTCAGATTCTTCAAATAGCCACCCTTTGCCTTGATGACAGCTTTGCACACTCTTGGCATTCTCTCAACCAGCTCCACCTGGAATGCTTTTCCAACAGTCTTGAAGGAGTTCTCATATATGCTGAGCACTTGTTGGCTGCTTTTCCTTCACTCTGCGGTCCGACTCATCCCAAATCATCTCAATTAGGTTGAGGTCGGGTGATTGTGGAGGCCAGGTCATCTGATGCAGCACTCCATCACTCTCCTTCTTGGTCAAATAGCCCTTACACAGCCTGGAGGTGTGTTGGGTCATTGTCCTGTTGAAAAACAAATGATAGTCCCACTAAGCCCAAACCAGATGGGATGACGTATCGCTGCAGGATGCTGTGGTAGCCATGCTGGTTAAGTGTGCCTTGAATTCTAAATAAATCACAGACAGTGTCACCAGCAAAGCACCCCCACACCATAACACCTCCTCCTCCATGCTTTACGGTGGGAACTACACATGCAGAGATCATCTGTTCACCCACAGCGTCTCACAAAGACACCGCGGTTGGAACCAAACATCTCCAATTTGGACACCAGACCAAAGGACAAATGTCCACTGGTCTAATGTCCATTGTTCGTGTTTCTTGGCCCAAGCAATTCTCTTCTTGTTATTGGTGTCCTTTAGTAGTGGTTTCTTTGCAGCAATTTAACCATGAAGGCCTGATTCACACAGTCTCCTCTGAACAGTTGATGTTGAGATGTGTCTGTTACTTGAACTCTGTGAAGCATTTATTTGGGCTGCAATTTCTGAGGCTGGTAACTCTAATGAACTTATCCTCTGCAGCAGAGGTAACTCTGGGTCTTCCATTCCTGTGGCGGTCCTCACGAGAGCCAGTTTCATCATAGCGCTTGATGGTTTTTGCGACTGCACTTGAAGAAACGTTCAAAGTTCTTGAAATGTTCCGTATTGACTGACCTTCATGTCTTAAAGTAATGATGGACTGTCGTTTCTCTTTGCTTATTTGAGCTGTT